CTGTATGGTTTTTTATTCCATCTGTTCAGTCGGGTTTCTTTGATCTACGAGTTACACTGCTTTCGAACCTGTTTGGCATTGATGAACAAATTGTAATTATAAACAATGAAATCATTTTGAGATATTCGAAAATTGGTGTTGAATGTTGTACTGATAATGATCAACGGTAACAAATGACCGAAGAACAAAATATTATTTTACAGACAATGCATGATTTATTTATCTACAATTTATTTTTTGTTTCAAGTATGATTGTTTATTTGTTCCCTCAAAATAGGCATGTTTATATCTGTATTAACTTTTATATAAATTTATAATTAAACCAATACCACGCGCGCGCGCGCGCGCACACACACACACACACACAAACATCATTCACATACACAAATCACACTATAAATAAATAGCCTATCTTACTATAGATATTGTATATCCTGAGAAGTACAGAAGTACCCTTGCGTATGCGTCTGTCCTCATGTGCCCTGCAGATTGTTATAAATCCATGCACGTACGCAGGGGTTTGGAACGTTTTTTTGTTTTTTTTTTTTTGTCTCCTCCTCAACCCATCAACGTGCCTCATTTCAGGGTTAACCAAAAATTCTTTTTGATTTTTTTAATAGCTGAATTTGGCGCTTATTTAACCCTAACTGAAACGCGTCTGTAGTTATCTATGCCATTTTTAAAACACTAATAAAAAGTAACAGCTTGAATCTCGAATTCAGCTAGGCTGTTAAGTGACGGAAAATTTAAAATCTTTTATGAACTATTATAAATTATAATAAACACACATAATTTTTTAAGGAAATACAAAAATAAAAATTTGGTGAATTCACTTGAGAGCACACGGATTTCCGTTTAATAGGAAGCTAGGTCTGAAAAACATGATCAATTTAAAAGAATATTTTGCGAAACTCCTTATAAGAAACAAATTACTTTTATTATTTTCGTCTGAAAATGTAAACGTTCACTCAAAAGACATTGTGAAAAATTGAAATAAAGAAAAATTAAAAATTCTTAAGTTTAATTTTTATTAATTTATGAGATGGCATGGTGAAAAAAAACGGGAAAAATAATTTTGTGGCCTCAATTGAGGGAAAGCACATGGGTCCACCATTTATTAAAAAGCTTGGTAAGAACGACATGATTCATTAAAATATCAACACCGTTATTTAAAAAAAAATTACATAAGCCCTTGTATTTATAAAGACAAAAAATGATTGATAAATAACATTAATAAAGAATAACAAGATGACAAAGATGGTGATAACAATCAATATGATAAGAGACGCCACTGAAATAACAAGCATGCCATTCTTATATTATGTATTAAACATCAGCACTCTAGCGCATCATTATTATTATGAATTTTTATCATCTTTATATTATTCTGTTGCCTGATGAAATGATATATATATATATATATATATATATATATATATATATATATATATATATATATATATATGTATATATTATGCCTGTAGGCATTGCGTATTTATCTGCACACATGAGTGTATCTTTGCCTGAGTATATATACATAAAAATATATATATATATTAAACGCAGAATGGGCATAAGAAAGCCTCTATATATATATATATATATATATATATATATATATATATATATATATATATATGTGTGTGTGTGTGTGTGTGTGTGTGTGTGTGTGTCTAGTCGGCCAGTTTGAGTACATAAAGTACACCACCTCTCACCACGACCAAAGGTGCGTTACTGTGAACACCTAACTCATTTTAGGCCAGACGCGTTTCGTCCCTAATAGGACTCATCAGTAGCCCGAGTTTAAACACCAACTTAGTGCAATTATTATCACAGTTAAAAATATTGCTAAATAAGGTGTTTTTTAGGTAAATCACAAAAATACATGTTGGTCAATAGAGACTCACTGTTACTCTGCCATACTCAGGCTAGCAGTAATTTCTAAATCGGCATCATTAATGTCTGGAGTTCGCAAATTGGTGAGAAATTATTGATTGTCAGAGAATTAATAAAAATGTTTTAAAAATAGATTGATGAATATTTGTGTTAGCACACTAAATAATAAACGTTATAAATGTGGTATTTACTGCTTAGGATCAGTATGTTGTTTATTGGTTGCTGTTTGAAATTATTGATTATATGATATGAATTAAAAAACATGAAATTTAGGAAATTTCAACACAGGGGCTTATGTGTTATTTTATGGTACAAGCTGAGATTTAGTTCTTAAAAATCGGACAGTTTGTATTTGTAATCTAAAATTATTGAAAATTTTAAATAAAAAGACTTTATCGATCCTTGGTTTGTTTTTTCCAAAACGGTTCTGTCGTCACGACTACGAGTAAAAAATAACAAAGTTGGAAACAAATGAAATTTGTAAAAAAAAAAGGAAAATGGAAAAAGCACACAGTGGAAAAATTTGGATGCAGAAAAACTTGAATCGCAAAAATTTTTTAAAATAAAAAACCCGTCAGACAGCAATGTGAAGCAGGATTAGGACGCCCCGTAATAATAAAATGCTGTAAAGGCGATATACGAAGTTTAAAAAGGTGATCTTGTCATTGTTGAGTGGTTTTCAAACAGTTTAGATCAAAGAGCCTGCCATTTAGTGGAGCAGCGACGATTAATTTAAAAATTTACCATCTAATGAAATAAACGTTTAAAAAGTTATGTTCGGAGCACCAAACAGAAATCACGAAAGATCTATGTGGCGTGCTCCGTGCTCACAAACAAGCTAACATATGTTGCTGTTTGATGCGATCAATGCTCTTGTTATTTATATAACAAGAGCATTGATCGCATAACATCAGTGCGGTTGATGTTTATATAGGGAAATATTGACTTTGTCAAAATGAACTTAGATGGAGATTAGGTGTCAGGTTTCTTTATTGGCTGGTCATCTACTTTGGTCTCCTTTTCTTCATCGATAGCATCATATTCTTCTTTGTCACTATTTACAATGCTAGTTTTTATTACTTCTTTGTTTTCATTGTTGGTTAAGCGCCGGGTTGGCAATGAGGTTGTCATTTTTTGTTGTATATTTATTTTATATATTTTATATGTATATTATGCAGAAGCAGTCCTAATTGACATCAATAAACTAAAAATAAAACTATGCCAATGAGCATAGAATCTCGTATCAAATCCACTTTTGAGCACTTTTCCGAATTTACGTTTCTACGAATCTACGTTTCCGAATCTACGCCAATGAGCATAGAATCACGAATTAAGTTTCTTAGATACCAGAATAGGCACCGATTTCTTGAGCATACCCAACCAGTGAACTAACGACTACCACTCTAATAAATATAAAGAAACTTTATATCAAAGCAAAGATTTTGTTTTGGGTGTTTTTAAACATAAAAATTTCCCAAGGTGGTATGTCTGTCAAATTAATAAAAAAAACTACTAATTTAATTTTTAAAATAATTTGTAATAACTTATGACGTCATTTACATTGCAAAAACCTCATCCTAAAAAAATCGTCTAGCCACTTATCGAGTGAATTAACTTTGCATCTAGCCACCTATCGAGTGAATTAATTTTGCGTTGAAAGACTTTGAAGTATTTTTAGTCAGTATTATTTCATAATTCTGACAATATATAATTGTCACCAATTTACTAACATTCTCTATTTTCTACAATAACAATTTGGTGGGTCGACTGGACAAATTAGTCTTTCTAGGTGTTACAATCTCAAGCAATCTAAGTTGGAAAGAGCACACAATTAGCATATCAAACAAAGTATCTAAAAATCTAGGAATAATCTATAAACTAAAATATCTCTTACCGAAATGTGTATTACTTAATTTATACTATTCTCTTATTTCACTTATTGTAATGTAGTTTGGGGTCGTTACATTAAGTCACATATTATTATCTTATATAGATGTTTATACTTCTTTATTCGTATTTATTATGACCTGAAAAAATATGATCATATTTCAGATTATTTATCGTTGTCTAATTTGTTGTCTATTCCTAAACTGTACGTTATCAGATTATTATTATTCTTGTTTAATGTTATAGTTAAGAACAAATTTGTTATGTTTAATTCATATTTAATTAAATCTTCTGAATATTACAAAAGAACAACTCGGTACACTCCATTATACAATTGTATTGTCCCTCGTACTGCTTTATTTTCATCTTCAGTGTTTGTTTTTGGTTTAAAACTGGAGTCAAAATTACCGTGTTTAGTTTTACAAGTATCTTACTATGGGCTATTTAAAAAATCGATTTTTGACTTAATTAAGAACAACTTTTTTCAGGATATGATTTAATTATTTCAATTATTTAAGTTATTTTATAAGGAAAAACTTCTAATATGAATTCAATTGTTTTGTTTGACTTGATAAATTTTGATGATCATTTTTTGTTCTAAGTAATTTCTGCTCATTTTTGGTTAAATTTAACTTGTTTTCATCGGCTAGCTATACGATTTTATTTTCATTTATGTTGTTATTTTCATGTAGGTATATGTTTTTATTTGGTTTGGGTGGCCGTACAAGCTCGTTTGAGCTTCTGTGTTTCCATGCTTTTTGCTGAATAAACTGAATTGAATTGAATATATATACATATATATATATATATATATATATATATATTATATGCTAAAATCAAGGTTCAGTTTATATATATATATATATTATATACTTGTATATAAGAACTGCACATATATATTCATATGATACTGCATAAAATTACATAAACTTATTTAATTGATTATGCTTGTAGGCATTGCGTATTTATTTGCACACATGAATGTATCTTTGCCTGTGTATATATATATAAATCATTACATTAATATTATTAAATTTATTTATAAGTGTTTGTGGAAGGGGCACGATGCATGCATTGTTCAATGTTGTTTTTGTATGTACATATATTTTGTGTTGATTGTTTGTGTGCGTGAATGATTGTGTGTGTACGTGAATGTGTCGTAATGCTTGTGTGCAGATAGATTTACTTTGATAGATTGAAAGCGCAGTTTTAAATTAATGGCTGTTCAGTCCCGTGTTGATTCAATTACGCTGGCGATGATGATGTCCCATGCTCGGCCTGTTGTGAGTGTGGTAATGTCATCAATGAAGAGTTCCACCAACAACAAATAAATAAATATAAATAAAAAATGGGCTTAAACTTAAGTAATATATGCTCATATCAAAATAGCATTGAAAGACAACTAAAAGCAATTAAACAACAATATCAATTTTATGATCATAGAGAAAATCTTTGTCGGCCATACATAAGTCAAAATTCTTCTTGAAGTTGGAAACAGTATCTGATTCAACAACGCATGTCGGTAAATTGTTCCAAATAGAAATCACTCTGTTAGAAAACGAATACTTTCTTGTATTTGGAACTTTTGAACATGTATTCTATAGCGATGTTCTCTGGTACGTGGATCCGCATCAAAACACAAAGCTGGTGAGGAATCTCTATCTACCATACCCTGCGCAATGTTGAAAATCATTAATATGTTTCCACGAACTCTTCTAAATTTTAAAGTTGGCAAGCCCAGAAATTTCAATCGATCCGAGTAACAAAGGCCTTTGCAATTCCTGACCATCTTGGTTGCCCGTTTCTGAACCCTTTCCAAATCGTCAATTTCTTTTATTTTCCAAGGAGACCATACACTGACACCATACTCTAACTTTGACCTAATTAAAGATTTATAAATCAAAATAAATTTAGTTAAATTTTTAAAGTTTCTGTATAACAATCCTAAAAGAACAAAACATCTATTAATGACATGATGTATATATACTTGAAGAAGCTCAGTGAACGTTTAAACAAAACCCCCAAATCGTTTACTTCACCACAAAAATCCAAGTTAGAATTATTAATATTATAACACCAATTATTATCCAAACATGAATGACCAAATTTTATAGCTTCACACTTTTCAATATTCAAATCGATTTTCCATAACATACACCAATCGTACAACTTATCAAGATGTTTTTGTAGCACTATTCTATCATCCACACATCTTATAAAATTAAACATTTTAGCACCATCAGCATACAAATACATTTGAACAGAACTATCTATCACAATATCAAACATGTCATTCACATACACAATAAACAAACAGACCTAACACACTTCCTTGAGGCAATCCACTACTAACTTCAAACCTTTTAGACAAACAAGTTCTACCACACAAATACTCCTTAATCCATTCAACCAAACAATCAACCACGTCATAACCAAATCAATAACACATGTGGCACTCTATCAAAAGCTTTAATAAAGTCTGTCTAAATAACATCAACATCCAAACATTTATCAACTGCACCAGTCCAACAATCCATTAATTTCAACAACTGGAGAGTTGTTGATTTCCCCTTCACAAAATCATATTGCCTATAATTTAGTAAATTGTTTTTATAAATGTAACTCAATAGATGATCTTTAATAATGGACTTCGAAAGTTTGCAACAAACATAGCTTAGAGCAACTGGGTTCTCAACCAAACGTCTATCCCCTTTTTTAAAAATAGGAACAATAACGCTGTGTTTCCAATCTTCCGAAATTTTTCCACTATCTAAAGACAAATTAGATAATTTGCACAAATAATCATAAACTGATTCAAATATGCATGTTATTGATTTAAATGATGTTGTAATTTTAGGATAATTCGAAAAGGGGTTGAAAACGAAAGCGTTGACAAATTAAAAAAAATATTCTTTATGCTAAATTTATTGATATTTAAAACATTAAAATAATAACAATAACGATAACGTCATTTTTTATAGCGCTGTGGCAATCGACTGAGGCACATTATTGTTAATACGACAAACACACAGTGTATGTAAACACACATGAATCAAGGCGTCACACACTCTTGGGTCGTGATTTCTTCGGACTGGGCATCTTGCTACTCCTCACTAACATCCAAACTGTGACAGGAGCAGGTAAAAGTCATCATTTTTTTTATTTTGTTGAGAAAGTTCTTGAGATGTCAACGAGCTTAAATTCGCACGAAGCACTTGGGCCACCAGGTTCTCACAAAGTCACCAGAAACTGAATCATATGTTGCCTTCTGTTAAAATAATTAAAAGCTGGAAATTTTTTTTAACAATAGTAACATTTGGTTTTAAATTTTTGTTTTGCTAATTTAAAATATTTAAAAAAAATTAGAGTTTTAAAATTAAAATAGCTTCAAGCACTAGTATGATTATAATTGTTAAAGTGCATTTTTGATCTGATGATGTTACTTGATTCATCAATATTCGATTTAATATTGAAATGTTGAAAAGTACATAACCAATACAAACACTGAAATACACATGCAGTGAAATTTTATTCAGAAACTAAAAAACATGCGAACTTTCAACTTTAAAAAATTTATCGCAATTTTTTTTCAATTTGCAAGTGGCACCATTTGAAAGAAAATTGCATCAATTACATCGAAATGATTCCAAAATAGTAAAATATCGTTTTGCTTTTCATAAAGTGTAAAAAAACTTTCATAACGTGCAGCAAAAGTCAGTCACTCACTTGAAGGTCAGTGAAAGCCACAAGAGGGCAGATTCAAGGGGAGGGTACGGTAATGCGTCCCCCCATTAGACCATGAAAAAGAAAAGAAAATTCTGTGTATAATATAGTAAGGAAGTCAACAGAAATTATCAAAAAAATATTATTAACTAAAGATTTTTGGCAATCATCTCCCACCGAAATAGGAATAACCGGGAATTAAGAAAAAAAACATAAAAAGGTCATCAACTTTAAAATTGCGAAATCCTCCTCCTCTTTCCGCTAAATTCCGGATACGACGTTGGCGACAGCCCCTTCGTACCTGTCATCCGCTGTTGATCCCTGAACTCCATGTTAGCTCGGATTGACAAACATTTTTTAATGTATTTTACGTAGGCTATTCATTTGTGGAACAATTAAACTAATGTGGCAACAATGGGAATTAATTGACCCACTTCCGTCTTCTAACAATTTTAATGTTACGTATATGCATACGTACTTACATACTTATACGCATATATAATACATAGATACATACAAACAAACATTCATACATACATACATGCATGCATACATACATATATATATACATACATACGTACGTAAGTACCTACATGCATACATACACACGACACTTGCACAGAAGAGCACGCGCATCAATGCAGTCATTCAGTGGTTGAAGCCTGCCTCAAATTTACAGGAAAACTCTGTTGGGCTTCCATTAAAAATTTCAACAACTGATCCACACAACCAGAAAGGACATATTATCAACCTTTACATAAATCAGTTGTTCATTTACATATTACTCGGTTTTATAATCCATTTAATAATTTTAATTTATAAAGGGAATATTTAGATATTTTAAATTAGTTAACATTTTTAATTTAAATTTTTATAAAAAATTCAAAATAAAATTTATTGACTTATGAAATTCAGCATTTAATAGTTCGTTTATTTGAAATAATGACAACAACTTCGATGCATCATTTCAGGATAGTGCATCTTCATTATTTAGAAATATTTTTGCGATTGTATAAATGATAAACAAATAAAAATAATTAATAAAGCAGATAAATAAATAAGTAAATACATAAATAAATGTGATAAAAAATATTTGAGCGGTCATATTTTATCATGGAAGCGAATCAATGTTACAAATTTCAAAGCAATGATTGATGGTTTTTCCTCTTTCCTGCAATGTTCGCTGCTCGATTGTTTGGTCTTTTTCTGTAAACATTGCATCCGATGAGTTGATTTATGACTAGTGTCAAAATAAAATTTTCAATGAAAAGTTATATCAGTGTTCTAACAAGTTATAATATATAAGATAGGTACGTAAATATCATAATAAAAAATAATTTAATTTTAAGGAAAAAAATCATTGACAAGGTCGTTTTAAAAAAATTATTCCGTCAAAGAGTAAATGATTATTAATGTTTGCAAGAGCAAAGGTTGGTATGCGAATTTTTTACTAACTATGTTGAATTAATTCTGGATAATGGAACTATAATGCAATAATGTAACAATCCTTAATTCAATTCTTTAATCTACCAATCGGTTCATCAGCCGTTCGTTGAATAAATCAATCAACCACTAACATAAAAACAACCAAACAAATCAACAAACAAATAAATAACATATAAAATCAGGCAAACAAATAAACAAACAAGTATACAAACAAACATGCATACAAACAAACAAACATACAAACAAACAAACATATAAACAAACAAGATTCTGAAAACATGGCGCACTCGTGTTGGAACGTTAAAGCAATCAATCGATCATCTTATATAAAAACTCATTGATTGATTGATTTAACATCTGATTGATTGGTTGATTGATTACGAGATGGATTGTTCAGTTGTAATTCAATTTCTGGTCGAGTAGTGATCCGATTGGAGGGTTGGTTGAATGAATTTTTGATGCCCGACTGATGGATGACTCAAGTTACTAAACCGCTAAACGAGAGCAGCTTTTGGGAAAATTTTCAAAATTTTTAAAATATTGTTTACGTGGCCGTGAAATGTAAATAACAAAATTAAATTGAGTCTGAAAAATATAATCCGACCAACGCAAAATTAATTATCTGAATGAAAAAATATAACACATAAAACGTCGCAAAAATGCGAGAAACTTGATTGAGTAAGAAATGTCAATAACACAAAACGCTTCGTCACAATTCAAACTGTTTTAATTCAAAATACATCTATACAGATGACAAAACATGATATTAGAGAAAAACTTAAAACACGACCGACCACATCACGAAATCTAACAAAATGACATTAACAACGCAACGTTAACAACACAAACTGAAGACACAACGAATGAACAACAGAACCAACAACAACTACAGCAACAACACCAACATAAATATAATTTCACTTTTCAACGGAGCATTATGAAAAAAATATCTAAAAGTTAACATAAACAGGCCATTACATCCTACATTTGCACTAAACTACACAAACAACACAAACAACATAAACCACATAAATAACATAAACAACTTAAACCACACAAATGAACTAAACCCTATAAATAGCATAAACCCTATAAATAACATAAATAACATAAACCACATAAATAACATAAACAACCACATAAACAACCCAAATGACATAAAGACTAAACAATATAAACCATCATGAATATGACAACAGAGCATGAACATAAAGCGCGCGGAGTGCCACAACGGCAGTATATGACATGCGAGTAACAATGCATCAACTCGGCAACCCATCTCCGACACACGAAACAACATTCAACTGTTTTGATGATCAGCAGTAGCAAATAAGCTGGATACAACATGTAATAAAGCAGCTTCAGTGGAGTGGAACAGCTAACATCCAGATTGATAAATTTGTATAAGACTGTTTTTTAGTCAGGCAGTTTATTAGACGCGTTCCATAATATTTTAAATGAATGACAGATTAGAAATTGGTTTGTTGTTTAAAATCTCCTTACTAATACAGCTAGCTTTTTCAAAATTAGAGTAACCCTGGCATGCTTAAAATGGTTGAAATATTACAATCAAAAACAGAGATAATTAAAACTGGTTAGAAAACTTATGACAAATTCCAAATGTATATAAAAAATGTGTGTCAATTCTTAGATGGAAAATCAAGAATAATCTTCTTGAGCTCTCTCACGGTGATCTCGAAAATGGTGCAAATGAAGCAACTATATAAAATTTTATTAATTGCGTGGTTTATTGTTCTATATTTTTCTCTTAATTTACTTTCAAAAGATTTGTTTACTTTTAAGATTTTTATGAGTTTTGAGGTTACTCACCATTAATGTTTATATTTTGATATAGCACCCACTGTCACGTTAAGTTATGTCATGTCATGCCATGTTATTTTATGCACTCAGTGTACTCTGCACTCGTATGTTCGTATGCTTATCGGTGGACACGCATTTTTATTAGTCCAACAATGCAGAACATTTCATCAGCATTATCATTATTGCTTTGTAAGTTGTTAGCTAGCTTCTTGTAGAATGTTGTTGTCGTCATCAGTGACGTTATCATCGTCATGGTCTTCAATCGTCCTCGTTACTATCATCATCACCGGTGGTTTACGCCATTGTTATCACCATGACGACGATGATGATCATCATTATCATCAACACCATCATCATCGTCATAACTGTGATGATTAAAACAACAACATCCTTAAAATCATCCAACTCCAGATTGGATTATTGTAAGTTTTTTATATGGCATAGCTGATAAACTGTTGTCTAAACTTCAGATGGTTCAGAACCAGGCTGCTAGAATCATATGCCGCAAATTAAAATTTGATCGTGCATCACAAATTATAAAGGAGTTGCATTGGCTGCGTGTTAAACAAAGAATCATGTTCAAGTTGGGTATAGTGGCATTTAAAAGTTTGGATAGTTTGGCTCCGAAATATTTAGAACATTAGAGTTTCATCTATATCATCACATGCGCGTCTAAGGCTGCCGATTCAAACACGCTGTATGTTAGAGATCGGAATCTGAAAATAGCAGATAGAGATTTTGCTGTCGCTGGGCCTGTTATTTGGAACAACCCACCAATTGAATTATGTTTATCTGGGTTATCACCAGCTGAGTTCAGAAAACATTTGAAGACAAACCTATTTGGTAACTCATAGTGATCATGATCCTAGATGCTTTGCTTTCAAAATGCTATCCATTAGCTATTAGCAATTTTTACGAGGAGAGCTTTATAAATTCAAAATTCAATTTGATTCAATTCAATCATTATCTTAACCATAATGATTACAACAACATCATCAACATCATCATCATGACCATAATGATTACAACAACATCATCTTCACCACCATTTCCTGACGTCGTGAAGAACAACGCAGTGCAACTACCTTCCTCTTTCATCTCTCACTGATGTCCTCGCTCGAGTTGAGGGTGCCCCCTGCTTCATTCCTTTCAACTGCAGTGCAGACTCCATTCAATCCCATAATGCTGGTGGGTTGGTGTGGAAATCACGTGATCATCTTCTTCTTTTTCTTCGTCGTCTTCATTTTCTTCTTCATCATCATCATCATCGTTGTTTTCTTTTATCATCATTATCTTCTTCATCACAATCATTATCATCTTCTTCTTCATAATTTTTATCTTTTGTATGAATATTTTTTGTCATGATTTTTTATAACCACAATCGTGATTCTCTTAAACGCAATTTTTATTAACTCTTCATCATCCCGTCATCCCATCATCATCTTTAATGTCGTCATCATTCCATCACTACCAACGTCTTATACAATTTATTCCAATATCTTCATCAACGATGATGCGAACTCACTTTCCGCTTTTGGAGTCTGTCGTTGTTTTAGAGCTTTTGTGATTGCATTCTTTGTCATCTTTTCTATTCTATCGGTACATCAGTCTTCGCTGCCTACATTTTTCAAATCTCTAAAAATATTTTTATTTCAATTATTTTTATCTTCATTCTCACTTTGTTTTGTTAAATTTTTTATTATCATCATTATCATTTTATCATCATCATTATTATACTTGATATCATCATCATCATCATCACCACCATCATCATCATCATCGTCACCACCACCATCATCATCATCATCATCACCATCATCATCATCATCA